CAGAATTGGAAGCTATTCCAAATCTTCAAGTTATTAAAGCAATGCAGGTAATTATCAAATACGATTTAATATATTTTTCTTCATATTATATGAATATGATTTGTTCTATTATTGAAGTAAAATCTTTACCTTTATAGTCTTTGAAGTCTAAAGGACATGTCAAGGAGCAATTTGCTTGGAGACATTTTTATTGGTACTTGACAAATGAAGGTATTGAATATTTACGTGCGTATTTGCATTTACCGCCTGAGATTGTACCTTCCACACTGAAGAGGCAAACAAGGTCTGAAACGACAAGACCAAGAGCACCGACAGGTGCGAGAAGCGAGGCATCCAGGCCCACGGAAGATCGCGCTGGATATAGACGAGGTCCTGGAGGACCTGGAGGTCCTGGTGACAAAAAAGCCGATGTCGGCGCTGGAACTGGTGACGTTGAATTCCGTGGTGGCTTTGGCCGTGGCAAACCACAATAATTCTTTTTACTTCGCCCCGGAAAGTCATGAATGGAATGCGTTTATTGTTAAAAAAATCTCTTCTGCAAGGTTTACACTTCACTTCAATCAATTCAATTATCTACAAGGAAAAAATGATTGCTTACTCTTAAAAAGTACACCATTACAAATTATGATATTTATTATTATTAACTCAATTATAAATTAAATTTGGAAGATTATGAACACATATAACGAGGAAAAATTGTCTAAATAGTAATAGCAAGTATGTACATTACATAACATTACAAAATAAACATATTTTCACATAAAATGCATATAGAGTTTATTTCTTTTACCCTATCATATTTAATCAAGAAAAAGCGCAACAACAATCCTACATACTCTAGTACATGTATACTGTTATTATTACGAACTATAAATAAGAGAATTTTTAAAAATAATTTGACGTATACCTTTGTGAGTAAAGAATTGCTTAATCTTCACCTGCTGGAATAGCATCCTCTAATCTCTTAATAAATTTGACACGTATCTCAGTTACATTATCATTTTTTAGTTGGTCTTGTACAAACCAACAAGCAATTTCCATCTGTACCATTTCACAAGCTCCCCTTAATACTCCAATCAATATATTACAATACTTCAAATTTAAACAGTTATCTGGTAATTCAACAAATTCTATCAATGGATTAGCTTCGAAGCACAAGGAAAATTCGTCACCAGCTGCACTCCAGTTTGTGATTGTTGGTTGTATTCCCAAAAATATTTTGAAACCAGTCTGGATTTTCTCAGCAGTATCTCGAAAATCGTAACACCGTCCAGATCCAGTGCGAGCCAGAAAATCTTCTATCAAGCGAATTCCCATATTGTAGCCCATTCTTTCCAGTTGTTTATTTACATCTTCGACGTTTTCATAATCTTTTAATAATTGAGCCACCAGTGCTCCGTACGTCAACGTAAACAATTCGGAATTCTGAAATTTATAAATATATGCTAAAGTGATTAATCTTCTTAATATCAATTATTTATAGAAATTTTTCATATCGTTCCTAACCGTGTTTCAAATTTGACATGTAATAGTTCGAATAATTATTCAAATACAGTAGAATACGATAAAGCTGTAAGATTGTTTAAAAAGAATTATATAGAATAATACGACATAATAATGTACTTACAACTTTTTTGGAGTCAAGTTTCGTTCCTGTTCGTGACATGTTTGCACGGATAAGTGTATGCGTAATCTCGATCTCATTCGAGGTTAATAA